TCCATTAAACGAGCCGCCACATTAAGGACGACATTCGAAAGTCGCTTGGTCTGCATTGTGCCAGGCTTGGTTAATTCGGTAGGCTTCTCTAGCAACAGGAGTTCAAGGCTCCAGCAGTCGACAGGGTTCTGGTAGATTAGTCAAAACACAGGCTTAGATAGGCCAGGAAGAGTGGCTTGGGATCATATAAGGATGTGGCTTCAAGCTTCAGTTCATCGGAGCTTCTTACTGACTTAGTTCTACAGGACCTGTGTGATAGCACACGGCATATCTGGTATGTGTGCTCTATGTTCGCCGCGTGCAGCTTGGGTGGTGCTTCCATATTTTAACACTGACTACAGAAATTGGTTTTAAGGGTTCCTTTCTTTTCGGGGAAGGGGTTTTGTGGCCAAAGCTCCAAAACTGATATCCTAGTTTACAGAAGAGAGCCTCTACTTGTAGCAGTACTTTTGCAAAGGCCTCGGAACCTGCTCGTTTGGGGGGAAGTCCCAGAGAACCTCTATTTTGCCAAAGTGAACTTGACCCCAACAACCTGAGTGCAAGGCTTACTTTTGTGAAGCTATGAACAGGAGCTTTATGCATTTCCCCTAGCATTCTAAACCAAAGCAAAACCGAAGCCTTGAATAATAGTAATTGTTGCTTTGTGGGATGAAGACTGAGTGCTGAGGTTTGTTCAGAGTGGAAGACAACCCAACAACCCTATGTAAGGCAAAAAACACTTATCTGAAGCAGCCCAGTTCTTTAGAGCACAAGCACCACTCCCCTGCAATCCTGGACCCAACAGAAGCCGAGGTAGTAACCCCCAGATGCACCCCACTTCGAAGTACAGTAGTATGCCCACTCTGAGATCCTGATCCGAAGCTCAGATTGAAATCTTCCTTCCAAAACCAGCTCTAACCCACGAAGCCTGAAAAGTCGCAACCTGTGCCCGTTCGGGGAACTTACTGCCTCTGCCTGCTGCAGTGGAAACTGCAGGACTGTGATTTGATTCTAGAATAGTGGGAAACCCAAGCAACTGCGTTTAGCTGAGGTATTGTTTTTTGGAGGGGCTAGTGCCTGTAGGTTAACACACTAACAGTTTGCTAGGGCAAGTTATGACTTGTTTGTTTGTCTATCCAACTATTTGCCTATCTATCGGTGCCTACTAACTGAAAATCGTAGGCAATATGCCTGTTGGGCTGAGTCTCGGGTTGTTTATATACAATGGGTTCTGCAATCCTTCAGGGTCGAGATATGGACTGGACTGTGCTTGTGGGATATGTGAATAGGTGGGCTAGACTTTCTTCAGTACCCGAATCCTTGTGAATGTTAACCACCTAAGCCCTAAGTATGCCCAAGAAAGCCGGTTGTGACTCCTATGGTTCTTGCTGGTCCAGGTAAATGTGTTCGTGGTTTCGACACGACATTACTTTAGTCACTAGGCACCACACCCTCCAAGAATCCTGCATACCATAGGCCCTGTCCCAGCCTTAAGTCTGGCGCAATCCAAGGCCCGACAACTCACAACAGCTTGTCGGGATAGTGGCCCCGATCCAGTATGTAGTGGCAGTCTACCTTGAAATTGGTGCCGGGTCAGCTTCTTGAGCATATGGTCTTTGTTAGATATCCAGGTATGGATCAAATGTTTGTGTAGCCGATAGAAGATTAAGCAAGCTTTGTGTACAGCATCCTGCTTCTAAGCTAACGATAGTCAATCCTGGTGCCACGGGAAAGTGATGCTAACCCAATACACAGACCCCCTTGTGCAAAGCCCATCCAGACCAAACTTCTTCTGCACTTTATAAAAGGGTGGTCTGGTATGTGCAGGAGGCTTGGGGTGTGCTAGGGTGCTGTCGCTGTTGGTTTGAGTCCTAGAGCAACAAAGAAGCTTCCGATGGTAATTCTCCCCAAAAAAACGAATGGATCTAGCCTGTCCTCCTAATGAGCCAAGAACCCCCTAAGTGGATCTTCGGACCGATGTGAGTCAAATGAAACACTATTTCCACTGCGCCCTCCCCATAACAGAAAACACTGCATAGGAACATCTACAGATGTTGTTTTCTTGTTACAATGGTTTGATACTCGTAAGCTCCATAGAATAGAACTATGCTGCTTGGTTTCCACATATGCATGGTCCGAGGAAGGAATAACTACCATGCCTAGGAAAACCGTGCAAGCTGTGTGCTCGCTTAACTTATATCGAAATCATTGGTATCCTGTGTTGGCAAAGCTTTTGTGTGCATCCTCTGTGCCAGGCCGCTTGAACTCCTATCCTGACCCAAAGCCAAGTTCTAGCTGAAAAACAGTTTGAGCCCTCTATCGCCCAGGTTCTTCTGGAAGGTGAGCCCGAGCCGGCTGGTGATGCTGAAGAGAACCTGTGGCGATGACATGTCACACCAGCTAGTTTAAGAGAGACCGGGCAGCCTAGTCGGACGAATGCCAGTGACTCTGCCCAATGTCCAATGCACTGGCTAGACAGGAACTAGCAGGGTGTTTGTGCAACAAACGTGGTTGTGTGGATATCTAGAGCAAATATAGTGATTTACACAAATAAGTCGTTTTCCACTCCTGTGCGTTTCAGACTAGCATGATTCACTAGGTACATCATCGGACGAAGTCGCGTGAAAAGGCCGGGATCCGGCGTGAAATGACCGGGATCCGGCGGGATCCGCGTGAATCTACTTTACAGACTACACTAGGTTTCATTTCAACCGTTTTGGCTGTTTTGCTAGTATTGAATGCATAAATGCCAAATCTAGTAGCTAGCATAACTAGGGGCAAGCATGGGCACTTTCAGGTTATATCCTATTGACTTAGCTAGACTAATATACATGGAGGCTACCATATCTGTCAGTCTTTGAATGGCCCAAATTTAATATATTCTGAATTTTGCTTGGGTAAAGGTGTCTTCCCACAGGGGTTCCCACAGGCATTGACAATCTGATCTGCTATGTGTGTAGCCTACCCAGCAAGTTGTTGTAGTCTACATGACAGGTACTGACCCCAAACCTGTGGCACACTAGGAATGTTACATGCACCGGCCTAGCCTGTGATATTAACTCGATACCTGCCTAGATGAATGGCTTCGGAGCAGCAATGACTTTCTTCCCTGGAACAGTTATATAGCACTATAGGCTTTACTTGAGGTCGATACTAGTGGTGAACGAGGATAACGAGGTACACTTAGTTGCTGTTGTCATTTCCTCGAGGTGAAGAGTTCTAAGTACGATCTCTGCTGCTCTGCAATGCATTTAAACTCTCCTTTGCTGATACTCAAGGATTTGACAGCCTGTCTAGTGAGAGTTTTCTCTCTGGCTGTTGAGAGAGGGAAGCATGGCCAAGACGAAGGCTGCTCGTGAGCCTCCAACCAAGGCGGCTAAGCATGTGGGTGCTAAGTCGGCTGCTGAGGCCGAGGATGAAGCTTCGGAAGCCTCAACGAAGGCCAGCTCGTCTGGGTCGTTCCATATGGATACACCTTTGATGATAGGTGGCGACATCACGATAGGACAGCTCATGAAGGATGAGGAGATTTCCTTCAAAGAGGCTGTTGGTGTCGCTCTGCGTCTTCGCGAGGAAACCAAGGAATTCCTTGCTACCACTGCGCCTGTGGGCAGTGAACCTGAGCCCAAATCTGCCAAGACCAAGAAGGTCAAGGGTGCTGTTGTGCCTTTGAGGAGGGTGAGTCTGGTGTTCATGGTAGTGGCAGTGCAGGGAGCAAGGCAGCCCCCAAGCGCAAGGCCCCCATCGGTGGAGCCGAGGCCACCACAAGCGAGGACAAGGCTACCGCAAGCAAGGTCGAGCCCGCAAGCAAGGTCAAGCCCACACGCAAGGTCAAGGACACCACAAGCAAGGTCAAGGACACGACAAGCAAGGTCGAGCCCACAAGCATGGTCGAGCCCACAAGCAAGGTCGAGCCCACAAGCAAGGTCGAGCCCACAAGCAAGGTCAAGGACTCCACAAGCAAGGTCGAGCCCACAAGCAAGGTCAAGGACTCCGCAAGCAAGGTCAAGCCCACAAGCAAGGTCAATCCCTGCAAGCTGGCCTCTCCGCACCTTGCAGTAGCTACTGAGAAGCCTGCAGCTCCTGAAGACCGTGAGCCTATCGAGCCTAGCCCGCAGCTCAAGGCTTTCTGGGACAAGTACAAAGTTTCCAAGAAAGCAGATGTGGTAGAGGATGCTGTGCCTGAGACCCTCCCCCTGTCCGATCATGAGGAGGTGTCACCCAGGCTTTTGCGTCTCCGTGCGACGACCGACTTGGGCGACAGCCTGCCTTCAGAGGATGTGAATCCACTCCCTCCTGTTGCTGTTCGCCGTGGATGGCAGCTTGCTTGCCAGACCTTTGTCATGCATGGGTTTGTATGCATGTACACATACACATCTCTGATCTTTGTGCTTTTGAAAGATCAGGTCATGTGGAACTTTGCATGTGGCTGACCAGCAGCTGAGCAAGCAACGGGGTGTTGATACAGCTGAGACTGTGGTCATGGAGAATGCTTCCCAAGTTCTTGCAGGGCAGCTCGATACAATATTCATCATGTATACATGTGCAAGTGTATGTGTGTGTGATACATCGGTCACGACTATACATACCTTTGCATGTTTTTTGTTCTGCTGAGGCTGGGAGGGTCTGTGTCACAGACTGGCTCCTCATCCTCGTCGGCGGAATGCTTGAAGCTTCAGAAAATGATCGAACAGATGCAGCTGTACCAGGCTACATTGGTGAAGCAGCTGCATGCAAGCGGGCAGGAGGTGCCTGCAGAGCCCAGCTCGGAGGCCACGGCCACGGTCCCTACGGAGGGCCCCCCACGCGTGGAGGCTCCTGCTCCAGTTGTCCCGGAGCCTGAGGATGATGATATGGATGGTCGTTCCATGTCCACCGACGAGGCCGGGGACGATGTTGAAATGTCGGGTGGATCCGATGACAAAAAAGAGGCTGCAGAGCCCCATGATGAGCTGGAGGAGGCGCTCTGCAAGGAGTTGTCTGCTCTTGACCGCTCCCCCGTGGCGAAGCCTGTGGAGAAGCCTGACAAGACGAAGATTGTGGAAGAGGCTCCTGTGAAGGGCAGGGCCCCCCGGGCTGTCGAAGACAGCCAGCCGTCCTCGGAGCGCATCTTTGCAACACAGTCGGTGACATCCAGTCCGGCTTCCTCACCGGCACACCCGACACCGGCTGCAAAAGCCAAGGAGGCTCCCGAGGAGGAGGACATCATCAACAGCCGCACCCACAAGCGTGAGTACATGGTTCTGGTGCCTTTCTGTGTGATCGTAGCTTTTGTATTGGCTGTTGGGGTTTTTCTGTTTAGCTCCCGAAGCTTTGGCAGTTTGTGGTAATTGTGCTGTATCAGCCATAGATACTTATAAGGACCGGCTCATCAAGAGCGGCACGTTGGCTACAAAGTGTCCGAACATGTCAGCGCTGGCCGAAGGCACCCTGAAGGCCGGCTTTCAAGCTAATCACCACTCTCCAGAGCAGACCTTCAATAGTTAAGTTGTTGCCTTTCGGCCTATACATGTGCCCTCTCTCTTGCTTTATCGAATCTACATCTCTCTCTCTCTCTATAT